TTTCTTTTTTTATGTTCCTCCCTTCTGTGAAGCCCGAAGTCAGCTAAAGAGCTAATGATAACCATCAAAATGCCTGCCATTTGCAAAAAAAGTTTTCTATATAACAATGAGAACTTGTGTCTTCCTTTTGTTGGTTGGTTCACAACAGATTAAATGCACTTGCCAACAGCGAAGAGGACGTTAATTATACTCAAATCGAATTTTCCCAAAAGCGGTTTATCGCATTTTCTAGACAGAGAGAGCCCTGTTACCAGAAGAATGCCACTCAGGAAAGTGTGAATAATATTGCCAGGTTTGAAAGGGAGAAATGAATGCGTTGGATCAGGACATCTCGAAGTATTTATATCAAATGGCAGACGTTTCAATGGTTATCATTAGCCCTTTAGTTGACTTCAGGCTTCACAGAGGGGAAGGTACATCTAAGTGAAAAAAAGTCGAGAGGAGGGGAACTGAAGAGTGTTTCAAAGACGAAGGTTGAAAATTTAGAAAAAATGTGATGTAGTACTGTGGAAGTGGTCGAATATGTCATACTGGGGGACCTTGGTAGTTTGAAGTCAACTGCCGGCTAATAGACTTTTTGGCGGTATGAGTATACGTTGCCCAGGTTGCACCACGTGGAGGTAAGTCTATCGCACACCCGGACATCTCGAAGTAAAGAGTGTGGGACACGTTATCGCTTTGTGCGTTATCGCATGCCTGCACGCCGGCATTGGGAGGTGCGGCCGTACAACTCTGTGTACATCGACCGCACAAACAGTGCCCAATCAGTAGCCTCCGTTTGTTTAACCTAATCCGCAATCCTGATCATGAGTAAGCTCCCTGCGTGTACACTTTGCTCACAAGATGCCTACTGAATAAGCGTGTTTCGTGCTGTACGTCTGTTTCCTTTCAAAGCTGGGCTATAGCTTAGCTGGTTCTGGGAGTCTAGCTAGATGTAGGACAATCTGCCACAGTGATTTCTGATACAGTCAGGGTTTACTAAGGTAGCAGTTCGCTACCAGAGGTGGAAGAATATGCATAGAATATTACTGCAACTCTAACCCAGTCAGTAAAGCTCATTTGGGATCCCGACTAAATTGAGCTTAGGAATATTCCCTTACAACCGAGTTGACTTGGACAGCAAGATGAGTTGGGACAAGAAGAAGAATAAACTTATGGAGAAAAGAAGATGAGAGGTTGGAGGTTAGTTATGAAAATCGAAAAGGAAGGAACAGGCATTAGTACCAAGCAAGCGGAAATTTGATTCCGTTCACGAGTCCCCAAATCGGTGTGCATAGTAGTACATTTATTCGGCTCTTCAGACCACAAACACTATAATCGATATTTGTGTTCTGTATGAGGACTTGAATAGCTTACCAAAACAATAGGCTATTTTGGAATCGTCGGTTAGTTACAAATAGGCATAGATTTCATGATTTGTGACATCAAATATGAATACATCATTCTTTGATTCATTTGCCTACTTGTTCACTCATTTATTTTACTTACAATGACTATTCAAATACCCCTTAAAAGTACTGGTTTCCATATTATTAAATTTTTGTGAGCTTCTATATAACAAAATGATGGGCTTGATGAACTAGTACAGTCTCGTCGGTATGCAGATATTGGCATTTGGTAGGCAATGGAGAGTTTGAAAATAAAGTGGGGATTTATTAAATATCAAGGCACCAATAAAAGGACGTGATTGAATCGAGTACTGGCTCTAAGTGGCCTCCTCTTAACTAATTTCATGACACCAACGTCAAATGTATTTTCAAGAATGACACTCTTAAATGCAATTCAAAACCCAATTAGATACTGAAATGAACTGTTTGGTAGAATCTCGTCGAGGAGAAATGAAGAAGCATTCTTATGTTTTCATTGCCCACTAATCCAACTCAAAGAAATAATTCTGTTGAGTATCCATGAGACACAATATTCATCAAGAATTTAAAAGGTGGTTAAGCACATGACATATTTAAGTTTAATTAGAGCAACAGCAATTTAATGCATGTTTTTAAGATAACTAAATACTTAACTCATTTTCATTGTAAAATTATCAAATGACTGTACGATTTTCTAATAAAGTTTTTAATTGTTGCTGAACTTTCTATTTTATCGAAATTCCAGCTGATGAAGACAATGAATGCCCATATGCGGAAACGCTAAAATCCCATGTTTCAGCTTAAATATATAACTGTATTATCCAAGGACAAGTTCGTAATTATGTTTTAAAAAAACTTTCTCTTCCTACAAGATTATGCACGAAAATAATCCAAATAATCTAGAAATAGTCGAATATATAAAGTCTAAATCATAAAACGGTGAATAGCATACATATAATAAGTCCTTATGACTTAACTACAAGAACGACAAATTACGTATCAAAAAATGTGAGTCATATGACTTCATATTTAAATTTATAATAATTCAAAAGTCATTTACTGCGTATCTCGACAGCATAAATAAATTTAAGGTCGACATTCTAATTAACATAAATTTTATCAGTTAAAGCCTTCAAAGATAAATTCTATTTTAATTAATTCTTGTGCAACGACCTTTAACGGCGGATTTTTGATGCGATTGACAAGAGGTGAGTGGAGGTTCCTTTCTCCATTTATGCCTTTACTTTACTTGTTGCACTGTACTTTGCACAATATATATGACCATAGAATATATGCTCTTGCATAGCATTTGTAAAATTGTGAAAGCATTATATTTGTGCAGTCAACGAAAAATAATAAATGGTAAAACTGGCCAAAATAAGGTTTCTGCACTTTAATTCTCACTTATTTGTCCCAATGAACCATTAACGGTATTCTGAATTTAGTTTCCAAGCTTAAAGAAGATAAAAAATGAATAAGTAGAGTATGTACACGATTACATTAGGAATTTTTCATGCATGACTTTAACGCAGGGGTTCCTTATTTTTGTACCAAAATTTTACCTAATTTCAAATTAGTTGTATTTTTGCGCCATTTCAGTCTATTTCCCTTTTACAATTTAAATTTCGTATTGGAAGGTCATTTGGAATACATCTCCTTATTTGAGCAATTTACAAGTTTGCTTTTAAAATGCATTATCATTTCGCTTCAGAAATCTGCCGAACTTGGTTTTTAATGGTGATCTAAGTTAATTTTTTTGAAGGAAATTGAAACATTATAAATAGACTAAATTCCTTGTTTATTTTCAAGACAGTGAGTATTAATAGATTTTGTTTTTTAGAGCATTTAACCAATAATGGCGTTTTTAATGCAAATTGCACCAAATAGTTTGATTTAATATGTGAAATATGTAGCACATCACTTTGTTTTGCTAGCAGCTGAGTTAATGACATTCTAATGAGTTGGCATTTCATTGGCACACACCTACACGCATTCAAAGAAGGCCCGTAATTATTGAATATTTGATATTGTGCTTGATATTAATCACTGTCATTTCAAGTCTGCACCGTTTAAATTCATCATGCCTTTGTGGCATGACCCAAACTTTCACTTTTCCCACTCATTAAATTTCTAAGATTTCAGCACATTCATTTGAAATGATTGCCCTTCGAAACCGTAGCTTCGTTTGACTAGTGGAGGCGTAACTTAAATAAAGGAGAGTAAGTACGTTAAAATTGGATTATAATTTGAAGTGAATAGCGAAGGGTCTGTTCCTCCAGAATGGTTTGGGGAGAATAATATTTGGGGAATTGAAATTGCCAGAGTGGCCAAGCTCTTATTCTTCTCAACGTAATGAATTATATTAGCCCAAGTTGGGAGGAAAGAAGAGACATAAGTGGAACGTTTATATTAGCAAAATAATTACTATCTAAGTAAAAAGAAGATCAGCCAGTCTTTTATAAATCCAAGGTCACCAGAAAAACCAACTAACAGTTGATCTGAAGCACGCTCTATTACTGTGTAATGCCTTCGGATTTCGTTTTGGTCATTCCTCAGAAAGCCTTCAACACATGGTGGAGTCGTGTGTAGAATTAGTGAAACAAATTTAACTTCGAACTATGCATTTACTATTAAGTTGTGGGGGATGCACGATAGACTTACCTCCACGTGGTGCACACTGGGCACCGTATACTCATATGACAAAAATGTTCATACACTGCCGGTTAACTTCAAACTACCATGATCCGACTTTATGTCATATCGGCCACTTCAACAGAACTCACCTCACTTTACCTTTTTCCCTGCCTTTGTGCCTGCCTGTCTCTTTTTCATCTGTGATTCGCTCTTCTATTCTCCTTCTCAAATTTTTTGCCTTCTCTATTCCTCCTCTCTGTGAAGACCGCAGTAATCTAAAAGGTTAATTATAACTANTTTGTTTTGCTAGCAGCTGAGTTAATGACATTCTAATGAGTTGGCATTTCATTGGCACACACCTACACGCATTCAAAGAAGGCCCGTAATTATTGAATATTTGATATTGTGCTTGATATTAATCACTGTCATTTCAAGTCTCCACCGCTTAAATTCATCATGCTTTTGTGGCATGACCAAAACTTTCACCTTTCCCACTTATAAAATTTTTTTAAGATTTCAGCACGTTCATTTGTAATTATTGCCTTTCGAAACCGTAGCTTCGTTTGACTAGTGGAGGCGTAACTTAAATAAAGGAGAGTAAGTACGTTAAAATTGGATTATAATTTGAAGTGAATAGCGAAGGGTCTGTTCCTCCAGAATGGTTTGGGGAGAATAATATTTGGGGAATTGAAATTGCCAGAGTGGCCAAGCTCTTATTCTTCTCAACGTAATGAATTATATTAGCCCAAGTTGGGAGGAAAGAAGAGACATAAGTGGAACGTTTATATTAGCAAAATAATTACTATCTAAGTAAAAAGAAGATCAGCCAGTCTTTTATAAATCCAAGGTCACCAGAAAAACCAACTAACAGTTGATCTGAAGCACGCTCTATTACTGTGTAATGCCTTCGGATTTCGTTTTGGTCATTCCTCAGAAAGCCTTCAACACATGGTGGAGTCGTGTGTAGAATTAGTGAAACAAATTTAACTTCGAACTAATGCATTTACTATTAAGTTGTGGGGGATGCACGATAGACTTACCTCCACGTGGTGCACACTGGGCACCGTATACTCATATGACAAAAATATTCATACACTGCCAGTTAACTTCAAACTACCATGACCCGACTTTATGTCCTATCGGCCACTTCAACAGAACTCACCTTACTTTACCTTTTTCCCTGCCTTTGTGCCTGCCTGTCTCTTTTTCATCTGTGATTCGCTCTTCTATTCTCCTTCTCAAATTTTTTGCCTTCTCTATTCCTCCTCTCTGTGAAGACCGCAGTAATCTAAAAGGTTAATTATAACTATCATAAATCCTTCCATTTGATACAAATAAACCACTAGGTAGTGGTGCTTAGTTTAACAGGTTTAATCCTTTCAACTGTTATAATTTCCCCTGATTAATAAGTCCATTTCATGAAAAGGAAGGAAGTAACGAAGTAGTTTAGATTGGAAGTACATTGGTTTCAAAAAACATCAACTGTGGAGAGTGGGGAAGATAGATCAAGGGGTTTCAATCCTGCAATAAAGACTTAGTATAGGGCCTCTTTGTGCTGAACGCTGCATTAATTGAGATTGTGCGAGAGTCAAACTTGAAACGAAACTCCCAATATGCATGTGGATGGAGATTTTAGGGGAGATCGATTTTAAATATTACCATTCATTCGATTTTATTCGATTCTGGAAGAAATCGGATGACCAAGTTTGGAGGATTGAATTGCAGCATTATTTCATTTTGTTTTGAGTTTATAAAGCCTTTGATTGGTTTATAAATTCACTAAAATAATAATTGTTTGCGTATATTTTTTTCATAACAGAGTTCATTAGAGTTCTAACAAAGTGGTTTTATTACCCCCTACCCCCTGCCCCAAATCTATTTGTATTCATTACTTGCAAAGTATTTCCATTTTTCTGTTTCAATTGAAAGACGATGCCAATAAACCACCAACTCGCCAAGCTGCCAATTCGAAACACGGAAATTAAAAACATTGCGATATCTGAAAAGACTACGATAACTGTTGCTGGAAAGTTAATGGAAATTAGGTTTGATGAGCTTACTCTCGTGAAGCGTCTCGGTAAGTTACCTTCTAGAATATTCTTTAATTATTTATTTATTTATTGAATTTTTTAAGTATGAAACCATTCTCGGAGCTATACTCAGTATCATCGTCCATGGGTGCTTATTCGGGTGGGCCGTTGTTTGGTTCCAAAGATGAATTTATTTCAAATGGCAGACGTTTTGAGAGTTATCAGTAGCTCTATTGCTGACTTCGGGCTTCATGAGAGGGGAGAAACATCAAAGTCACAAAATGTCGACGAGCGCGGGGAGGGGGGCTGGGGTTGGGGCTTGTGGACAGAAGAGTGATTCACAGATGTAAAAGAGACAGACAGACACAAAGGTAGATAGAAAGGTAAAATAAAATGAGTACTGTGGTTGTGAACGCATATGACACATAGTAGTTTGAAGTGGGAAGTCAATTGCCTGTTTGCAGACTTTTTGCCATATGAGTATACGTTGTCCAGTGTGCACCACGTGGACCCCTTTTTCTTCAGATATAAAATAGTGAGACGTGACCAATTGTTTAAATCGAACAGAACACGCAGTAAATTCTCAACAAGTTGTTTGGTTCTGAAAATAGTTTAATGAAATGGAATTTTGCGTTTAATCCCCTTGGGTGGAATTTCGGAAAATCCCGGTTTTAATCTGCCTTTAGGTATTCAAACGGGGACTTTTTGTCTTGGCTACATAGTACAGTACAATTAACTAAACTCTGAAACTCAATTCACTTTTTCACTCCTATTGCCTAGGACAAGACTGGTTAGATAAATAATATGTCCACTCTAATTGGATGATTATGTAGATTGTGGGTTCTGTTTCACAATTAGTTAAAAGAGAGTGTAAATGCCATTTTTAATCGAAATTTTATCTATGTTCGCCATAGGT